GGTACCTGGGGCTCTGGGATAGGATGGGGTTACTCCTGCCTTTTTCTAGGTCTTTCACTCACCTTCCTACTCCCTACACTGCTGATCATCAAACTCCTCCAGCTCTGACTTCAGGCCCTGGCTCCAGACCTTCATCTCCAAATCCCTGCTGAGTAATCTCCCTGCCTCTTCACACTCAACAGGCCCAACCAGCCAACTAATGAATCAACAAGCCCCGACTCTGTGCCAGACACCATGCTCGATATTAGGTTTACAAAGACAAAAAAAATACACTGGCCCCTGCCCTCAAGGGTCTTCTATTTGATGGAGGAAAACATGTACAAATACAATGATACCAAAAAAAGACACAAGACAAGGACGAGTTAATTTCTGGTTTGTGTGTGGGGGCAGGGAAGCACCAGCTGCTGAGGGATCAGAAGAGGCATCAGCTCACTTTAGGAGGTGGCAAGGGAGCCGGGCTCAGAAGAAAATGAGAGTTTTCAAGAGGTAGGACTTCACAGGCAGGGGAAACCACTTGTCCAAAGGCAGCGATGTGCAGAATGCCATGGGTGAGCAGCAAGGCCAGATAACAGAACTGTCCAGTGGGAGAAGCGGAAGAATGTGCGGTAAGTCTGGAAAGGTAGGCTAGAGTAAGGTTGTGAAGAGATTTAAAAGCCAAACAGAAAAGTTGACATTTTATCCTGAGCAAGTCAGTGGCATGGTGAGACTCGTACTTTGTGGACTGAAGAGGGGCCAGGAACCAGGATCAGCACCTTGGCCACAAAACTATTCTTCCTTCCTCTTTCCTTCTTCCTCTTCTTTTCTCGGGCTGGTATGGGGCTCACTCACCCTGGGGGCCTGGAGCAATGGAAAGGGGGTTCATAATTGTTGGCATGTTCTTTCCCTATCAGACTGTGAGCTCTTTGAGAGCAGTGACTAGTTTTTGCTTTTCTTTGTATCCCTAGCTCTCAGCACAGTGCCCAGCACATAGAACACACTTAATAAATGCTAGTTAACTGTCTGAAAGGACAAGCTCTCTGATGGGTGGAGTGTTACTCCATCTCTAAGCCCCAGACTTTCCTTCTACCATATGCTAACTCCCTTGTCTATTTCCCTCTGCTTTATTTTTCATTTAGGAATGCCCTAGATAATTGTATACTCTACCAAGACGTGTGTGTGTGCATGCGCGCATGTGCGCACACGCGTGCAGTGCTCTCCCATGGTGGGTGGAGAACCTTCCAGTTCTGCTGTCCTTAGCTTCCACTAACTCTCTTAAGAACTCAAAAGAGTAGGAGAAGTTGGTGTAGTAAAGAAGGATTAGCTTTGTTCTGCTTGGCCCCAGAGGATGGAACTTGCAGTAGTGGGCAGAAATTGTGAAATATTCCAATTTAGCTTTGAGGTTCAGAAAAACTTCCTAGCAATGAGAGCTGACCCAAGGTGGAATGAGTGGCTTCCACTCACGTGACTGAGTGGGTTTCTCCTCTCTGGAGGAAGGAAATACCTTGCTTAAGAGCACACAGGCATTAATAAGTAACAAAGAGTTAAAGACTTGATGAGTAAAGACTTGAACTCTGTCTCCAAACAAAAACTGGATGACCACTGGTTAGATATATTAGATACATTAGATAGGAGTGGCTTGTTCAGGAATGACTTAGAATCAGGTTGGACTCTGAGTTTCCTGACAACTCCAAAATTTTGTGATTCTTCTGGAGGGGGAGCCCCCTGGGCATTGGAGCAGGCCAAAGGGCTGTCTTAGAGGGGAGGGGGAGGGAACAAACTCCCTGGGGATCTAGAGAGAATATAAGGTTAAGATGAAAAGTCCATATATAGGTTGGGGAGGTGGACACACAAAGACACCAACAGGCACATGTAAACACACCTGGAAAATCTGGTGTAGCAAAGGCCTAAGGTTTAGGTCTCAGGAGACCTACTCAACATGTAACTTTGGGCAAAGATTTCTGTGGGATTCACTTTCCTCATCAATCCAAAGAGAGAGTTGGGCTACATAGACTTAGATGTCCCACTAAACCCAATTTAAATGCCAGTGTGGGGGAGTTTGTCTCATCTTTCCCCCCCCCCATCCCTTCTGGGGACTCTGGATTTGCCCCTGGCAAAGGATTCAGGATAGAATGGAAAAAGTCCAGGATTTGGAGTTTGGAATTCAAGTCTTGGCTCAATTACTTATTACTGCAACGGATTTTCCCTCGATTCCCCCAGCTTAATTGGAAAACTGGGCGGGGGGGTGGGTAGCTCTTGGAGTAAGTGGTTCTTGAATACTCTTTTGCAGTTCAGATGTTCCGTGATTCTCCCAAGGCTTCGGACGATTCAGTACTGGGGACAGCTCCCGGGACCGCCCCCTGCCGGAGGTCCTATTATGTTACAAGCCTTGAAGTCTGAGAAAAGCTAAGGATGTCCAGCTTCGAGGCAGACCCAGGGCCATTCTCCCTCTCTTCAGTGTGAGCTCCACAACTTAGTTTTGGGTTCCGCAGTATTCCCTAAGGGAGTAGGCGGGGTAAGGAGGGGCGTCTCATCTCTCCAAGCAGGTCAGGAATTATGTAGATACTCAAAACCCCTTTCATTTTACAGATGAGGGAACTGATGAAGGGGGATCGGGGGAGGAGAACTGTGTCCAGGATCACACAGGGAGTAAATAACTGAGTTGGAATTCCAAAGCAGGGCTTCTGCCCTCGAATTCAGCGCTCTTCACTCCCACTCCACTGGGCTGAATTCCAGGTAAGGCACTCACAATTCTCTGCCTTGGGCACGGGCCGCTGGACAGCTGGGAAGAAGTCTCCGACAGGAGGTCCTGGGGTACAGGGTGTGGGTGATATACTCAGAGCGGGGATGCCTATAGACCTGGGTCTCCTGCGGGTGGGTTTTGGGGGCACAGGATTTCCATGCATTCCCTGTACCCCACATAGCCTGACTTGACCGGAAGGGGGACGTCTGTCGGAGAGCTCCAGGGAAAGGATGCTCCGGCCTCCTTCTGCACTCCCCGCCCGGTACCTCGGCTGCCCAATCGGCGCCCTGGGGGAGTGGGCAACCCGCAGGGCAGCCGGGATTTGGAGTTCTCCCAGGTTGGCCCCCTCCCCACCCGGCTGCTTGGGAGGACTCCATCTCCCAACGTCCCCCGGGAGGTACGGGGATTGGTAGACCCAGCCCACTCTTTCCCCCCTCCCCCGCGCCCCCCCTTGGTCCCTGATCCCCTCCCCCCTCCTCCTTGGCCGCGGCCCCGCCCCCCGGCCCCGCCCCTCCCCTCACCGCAGCCGAAGAATGAATGAAATTGTAGCGGGCTGGGCGGCGGAGCAGGAGCAGGAGCAGGAGCAGGAGGCGGCGGCGGCGGCAGCGGCGGCGGCGGCGGCGGGGGTCGGGCACGGCCAGCGGAGCGCGGGGCCCCGGGGGGCCGGAGCCGGGTCCCGAGGGCCGAGCGGCTGCGGCGCCGGGGGCGGGGAGCGGGCCATGGCCACCGCCATCCAGAACCCCCTCAAGTCGTGAGTCTCCCCCTTCCATCCCGTCCTCCCTCCCTCCCTCCTCCCACCGGGCACGGGGCTGGGCACGGCGGGCAGAGCGGGGACAGGAGCCCTGGAGCCTTGTGATTGCCCTATGTCCCTTCCCGGAGATTGATGGGTGCCACTGACACTTGGGCGCCCTCCACCTCCCTCCCTCCCCCCAAGCCTTGGGATTGATAGGAGCGGGGGATTATTGGGAGGGGGCGGGGGGATGGGCACCATTGGCAGCCGAACCTGTCCCCCCTCCACCTTCTAGGCCGTCTCTTTTGTCGCCACCCTCAGTGCAGGAATTTGCAGATCCCCGAGTCCGGGCTGGGGGCGGGAGGGGAAGTGGATCTGCTGGGGGCGGGGGGGTTCACCCCCTCCCAACCCTAGGCACTGGTTCTGGCACTCGTTACCCTGCAAGCCTCCAAAGCTGGGGAAGGGAACTGGGAGCCGGAACCGCCTGGGTCCCCCTCCCCACTGTGGACCCTCCAGTATAACGGGGCGGGGGCGCCCCCTTCCCTTGCTCCATAGGCTCCTCCCCCAGGAGTGACAGGCGCGTGCCCGGCAGAGGGGGAGGAGGCTGGGGGAGTGGCGCGTGCCCGTGGGTTGTCGGGGACGCGGAGGCGCACAAAGGGGCCCCGGGACAGCCCCCCTCCCTGGCCCACCCCGTGCGCTTGGCCTTGACCTTGGGGTTGAAGGGGTGCGAGGGTCAGAGCGAGGCCGCGTGAGATTGAGAGCAAGCAGCAGGGGGGTTTGGGGTTGCTGGGCTTCCTGGAAGTCTCTGATCCCTGTCTTTTCTATCTCCGTCTCTGGGAGATCTGGAGGCTGGGGGCCAGGCGACCGAAGGTGGGGGGGGGCGACTGTGCACGCGCCAGCACGTGTGACCCGTGTGCGCGCTCTGCGGGTCTGTGCGCGCCCCGGCTGCTTGTAAGCTCTTGTGTGAGTCTGAGATTGTGTGTAGGGGTCTGTGCATGTGAATCAGGAGGCCTTTCTGTGTGCATGTGTGTGTGTGTGTGTGTGTGTGTGTGATGAGGGGGGCAGTTGTCTCTGTGTGTCCCAATGTGTATGTCTGTTGTGTAACTGTGGTGTTAGTGTTATCTGTGTGTTAAAGTGTGGTGCACCGTTGTATCAATATGATTGTGTTGTACGTGTCTGTCTAGGGTGTTTGGCTGCGTGTTGTGTCATTGTGGATTGTGTGTGTGGCAGCAGGACCCTGGGTGTCAGTAAAGGTATATGTGTTTCACACATGCACCCACTACATACAGTGCCCACGTTAGTGCCAAGACAGAGGTCTGTCTCCGAATTTTCACCTGGCCCAGGCCTCACACCACCCTGTCTCCATCCTCCACCAGGGCCTCTCCTTCCCAGGGCCAGACCTAGATTTGGCCTCTGGTGACAGCACGGACCCCCTCCCTCCACCTTCCGCCCTGCCGCCCCCGCACTACATTTCCCAGCATGCCCCGGGAAGTCCCTCTCCCCCCACACGTTGGTTGATGTCCCCGCCCCCACCCCCACCCTGAGAATGAATGGAGTGCCCGCCAGGGCCAGGTCGCTGCAGACCCCGGAGCTCTGAGGTGACCGGGGCCAGGGTCGGGCCAGGTGCAAGATGGCCACGGTCAACCCCAGCCCAGTCCGGTGGTGAGCCCGGCACCCCCGCCCCTTCCCATTCCACAGGGCGGGGGCTGCAGAGCGTGTGTCTCGGAGTGGGATTGTGTGTGTGTGTGTGTGTATGTGTGTTGGGGGGGTTGTAATTGTGTCTCCTGTAATTGTGTGCTTGTCTCGTGTGGCTGTCTGTGTAACCGAGAATTGTGCATTCATCTGCTGGATTGTGTTACCAGGGGTTTGGTCTTCTGTGAATCTTCAAGTGGCATTGTGTTAATCTGTGTATTCCCAAACAATTCAACAAACGCCTCCCGACCACCTACTGTGTGCAGGGCCTTTGGTGTGGTTGTCACCCGGGGAGCCTCAGTGTCCTCATCTGTCAAATGGGGATGCGAATTCCTCCGCTACCTATTTCCAAAGGAGAGGAAGGAGGAATTGTCTTCTTTTGCGGTCCGAGTGTAATTTGGTGACCCCTTGACCCGTATTTGGGATTGTGTAGGTGAAACAATGGGATCAGATTAGTTGATCTGCAAAATCCCTTCCATTTCGAGATACCTGAGGGAGGGGGGAAGTGAGGCTAGGGTGGGGGGAGGGCGGTAACTGTGTCTGATTTTGTGTCCTCCGGGTATAACACCACCAGTGTAGGGATAGTCTACGTTGTGTACATATGCGTGTATGGTGTGTGTGGGGGGGCGTCGTAGAAGAGTTAAAGCGGGGGGCAGGGACTCTGCTGGCGCTCACCCCGCCCCCGTCCCCACCCGGGGACATTCGCGCTGCTGGGGATGCCTGCGGGCGTGGGCACCACCTAGCGCTCAGCCGCGGGGGAGAGAGGGTCAAGCTGTCTGAGCCTGGGAAGGCGAGGGAAGGGCTCTATCCCTCTCTCCGCCCACTGAACGACCGCCCAGGCGGCATCCCAGACTTTAGCTCCTCCTATTTTTTCCTGTCCAAATATGCCAGCAACTCCCCAAAGTTTCAAGGCTACCACAACGTTCCAGGACACGGCCCGCCAGCATAATCCAGATGTTCTAGGCACTAGCCCCTGCTATTCAGCGCCTCCCAGACACCCCAGGCCTACTCTCTAGCACCTCCTATTTTTCAGTCCTCCCCCTCCCTCCCCCCACTACGTTCCAACACCCTCCTCAAGTCCCAGCTCTCTCCAGATATTGGTGTTTCCCACATTTGAGCGACTCCCAGACCCTCCAGTGACTGGGCCATAATGTCCCAGCGTCTTCCCGAAACCCTACCCAGCTGGGGCCCCGGGTCCACCCAAACGTTCGCACCGGACCCAAGTGTAATGGTGCCCTCCGACGGCCCAAGGCGCTCCCGGAGGTTCGGAGGCCCTCGGCGTCCCGGGCTCCAGGCCGCCTCGTCCAGTCTCCAGGCCCAGACCCGGAGGCATGTGCTCGGCTGACCCTGCGTGCTTTTGCCTCCCCACAGCCTGGGCGAGGATTTCTACCGAGAGGCCATCGAACATTGCCGCAGCTACAACGCGCGCCTGTGCGCCGAGCGGAGCATGCGCCTGCCCTTCCTCGACTCGCAGACCGGGGTGGCCCAGAACAACTGCTACATCTGGATGGAGAAGACCCACCGCGGGCCGGGTGAGGGCGGGGGCGGGGCCTCATTGGGAGGGGAGGGGGCGGGGCTCGGCAGAGGGGAAGGAGGAGGAGGAGGAGGAGAAGGAGGCAGGTGCTTAAACAGCCTCCCCACCTTCACCCCCTCCTCTCCAGGTCTGGCCCCTGGACAGATCTACACTTATCCGGCCCGCTGCTGGAGGAAGAAACGGAGACTCAACATCTTGGAGGACCCCAGGCTGCGACCCTGCGAGTACAAGATCGGTCCGTGGGGGGCCCCCAGCCCAGCCCCTGCCCCCAGTGTGAGCGTGGCCCAGCGTGAGCACCTGAGCCTATGTCTGAGCGTGTGCGGCCCCCAGGGCCTGTGTTGGTGGTATTGAGGCTGGGGGGAGAGGCATCCGGGGCGCTCTGTGTTGCAAGTTGTCATAGATATCAGAGACAGCATAGAATGAGAGCCGAAAGGGAACTGGGGACGGTTTAGGCCAAGGTCATGCGATTAAAAGGTGGAAGAGCTAGGGTTTGAACCCAGGGCCTCTGGGCTTAGTTATGTCTGTGCTGTGACATATTATCTGACTGTAACTAAGAATCAGAGTAATTTAATAGCGTTGGAATCAGGAAGACCCGGGTTCAAATCCTGCCTCAGACATTGGGTGAGATCTTGGGCAAGTCAAGTTCCATAGCTGTAAAATGGTAATAAGAATAGCACTTACCCCCACAGGGTTATTGTGAGGTTCCAATGAGATAATGTATATAAAACACCTTCAAGAGCTAGATGGCAGCTATTCTGCAAGTGTGGTTTTGTGTGTGTGTGATTGTGTGTGGTTGTGTGTTGGTGTGGTTGTGTGGTGATTATGTCTGTATTTGTGTTGGTGATTGTGTGTCTGTGTGGTTGTGTTGTGATTGTGTCTGTGTGGTTTTGTTGGTGATTGTGTGGTTGTGTTGTGATTTTGGCTGTGTAGTTGTGTTGTGATTGTGTGTCTGTGGTTTTTGTGGTCTGTGTGGTTGTGTGTGGTTATGTCGGTGTAGTTGTGTTGGTGATTGTGTTGTGATTGTGTGTGGTTGTGTGACTGTGTGGTTGTCTCATGATTGTGTGGTTTTGTGTCTATATGGTTGTGTCTGTGTTGGTGATTGTGTGTCTGTGGTTGTGTTGGTGATTGTGTGTGGTTGTGTTGGTGATTGTATGTGTAGTTGTGTCTGTGTGTTTGTGTTGGTGATTGTGTGTCTGTGTGGTTTTGTGTGTGGTTATGTTGGTGTAGTTGTGTTGGTGATTGTGTTGTGATTGTGTGTGTGGTTGTGTTGTGACTGTGTGTGGTTGTGTGTCTGTGTGGTTGTGTTGTGATTGTGTGTGGTTATGTCGGTGTAGTTCTGTTGGTGATTGTGTTGTGATTGTGTGTGGTTGTGTGACTGTGTGGTTGTCTCGTGATTATCTGTGTGGTTTTGTGTCTATGTGGTTGTGTCTGTGTTTGTGTTGGTGATTGTGTGTCTGTGGTTGTGTTGTGATTGTGTGTGGTTGTGTTGGTGATTGTGTGTCTGTCTGTGTGGTTGTGTTGGTGATTGTGTGGTTGTGTTGTGATTTTGGCTGTGTAGTTGTGTTGTGATTGTGTGTCTATGGTTTTGTGGTCTGTGTGGTTGTGTGTGGTTATGTCAGTGTAGCTGTGTTGTGATTGTGTGGTTGTGTTGTGATTGTGTGTGGTTGTGTGACTCTGTGGTTGTCTCATGATTATCTGTGTGGTTTTGTGTCTATGTGGTTGTGTCTGTGTTTGTGTTGGTGATTGTGTGTGGTTGTGTTGTGGTTGTGTGTGTCTGTGTGTCTGTGTGGCATCTGGCAGGGTGAAATCTACATGCTCAGAAAGCGTACGGCACGCACGTGTACTCTGTGCAGACATGCTTGTGATGGTGTCTGTGTGTGGCTGATGGTGACTGAGTGTCTGAGAACACAGAAGTGAGGGCTTCAGTGCATCTCTGAGGGTATGTCCCTAAGGGTGGCCTATGGGAGCTTCTGAGTGTCTGTCTCAGTTCCAGTCTTAGTATGTCCTGCTGTGAACATCCCACAAGGTGGCCCAGTGTTTTAGGTCAGGACTCAGGCCATGTTGTCTAGAGAGATTCCATGGGGGGGGGGGGCTTAGATATGTGTATGTGTGGAGGGGGAGGAGAAAAGGAGGGGGGAGGGGGATGGAGGGAAAGAGAGAGAGTGGAGGGAGGGGGAGAGAGACGGAGAGAGAGAGGGGAAAGGGGAAGAAAGGGAAGAGGCAGAGAGGAGAGAGAGAGAGAGAGAGAGAGAGAGAGAGAGAGAGAGAGAGAGAGAGAGAGAGAGAGAGAGAGAGAGAGAGAGAGAGAGAAGGGGATCCTTGGCAAACAACCTTTCTTTGACCCTCCCTGTTTCCCACCTTTCCCCCAGACTGTGAAACACCCCTGAAGAAGGAGGGGGGTCTCCCTGAAGGGCCAGTTCTAGAGGCCCTACTATGTGCAGAGACAGGGGAAAAGAAGATAGAACTGAAGGAAGAAGAAACCATCATGGACTGTCAGGTGGGGTGGGAGTGAGGACTCCCCTCCAGCCCCATCCCTTTTGAGACCCCCCCCCAAGGCAGATATCCTACCAATACCTCTTCCAGGCTTGTTTTGGGATAACCACATTTCCCCCTCCATCCCATGTGAGGCAGGTCACTCTAATCATCCTCCCAAGATGACACTTGGGAGTGTCACTTCATGTCTGTCTCCTGCTCCAGAAACTCCCTTGACTCCCCACATCTGTAAAGAATCAGCATCCCTAGCCCAGCCCTTCAGTCTCAGGGGTTTCCACACTCCTAGAGGGTCTTCTCACCCAGTTTCCTTGGATGCCTGAGTCTTTGTTCAGATCACGTCCCCCTCCTCTCTGCCGTCTCCAGCTTTCCCTGTCCTTTGGGGTGCAGCTGAGATTTTCCCCCCCCCTTCTTTGAAGAAATCCTCTTCCCCTAGTTCCTCCAGCCTTTCAGGGCATTCTCTACCCGACATTCTTACCCTGAGTTTTTTTTTTCTTTTTTTTTTTTGGTGTGGAAGGTTCCCTCCCCATCCCCTCATCTACAACAGAGCACTTTTCCTGCCCCCACCCCTCCTGGGGCTGCCCCTGCTCAGGCTTCACACATCCCTGATACTGCTGGCCCATATCAAGCATCCCTTCCCTGAAAACTTGTTTCCTCCTGCCCAGAAGCAACAGATGTTAGAATTTCCCCATGAACTCGAGGTTGAAGATCTGGAAGATGACATTCCTCGCCGAAAGAACAAAGCCAAGGGGAAGGTAGCTGGGGCCCTGATCCCCCCACCCCCACCCCCGCTCCTCCCCCTCCAAGGCCCAAGTCCAGCTTCTCCTGGAGCCTCTTCTCTAGTGTTTTTCCCTGGCCGACCAAGTAGCCGAATTCTCTGCCTGGCGAACCCATCTCTCTCCCGATGGCTCCTCTTTCTCACCTCCCATTTCCCACGGTCTCTGCTCCGGTTGCCCTGCGCCTCAGATCTGCTCTGCCTAGCATCTCCCCCAAGGATGTTAGAGCTGCGGGGGACCTCAGACACCATCCAGTACAAATCCAACAAACTGAGGCTGAGGTTAAATGTCTTGCCCATAGTCACATAGTCATTAAATCACAAAATCAGGCTCAAACCCAAGACCAGGCCTTTAAGTCCAAGTCCAGTGCTGCCCTTCAATGCCTCAGCCCTCTTCTTCCTTAATATCCCCCCAAGGCTCTGGCTTCCGAGGGTCTCCTCTGGGTCCCCCAGTCTAGCCCCTTGACACTCCCATGCGTGTGTTCTGCATCCCCCTCAATACTCCTAGCTATATCGATTTCTTCTCTTTCTTCTTTGACCTGCCCTTTTCCTCTCAGGGTTTTCCCAATCCCGGCCTCAATCCTTCCAGCTCCTTCCTCTCTCCCTTTTCCCCAGCCCCTCCAAGTTTCCTTGTTTTCCTTCCAGGCGTACGGCATTGGGGGGCTTCGGAAACGCCAAGACGCTACCTCCCTGGAGGACAGGGACAAGCCGTATGTCTGCGATAGTGAGTCCCTTTGAGGTGTGGGGAAAAGGAGAGGGGCCCCCAGAGCCCTCCCCCATCTTGGGCTGAGGGCTAATGGCAGGGGACGGGGAGGAGCCTAGGGGGAGGGGAGATGGGGCAGGTCTGATGGCCCACCCAAAGTGGGTTTCTTTGTTTTGTTGGGAGGACGGGGCCAAAGTTCCCCCAGAAGCCTCCTTCCTGTACTCTGTGGGGGCAGGGGATCACCCTGCTGGAGTGGGAAGGTTTGAGGCCAGAGGAAGCAGGAGAGTGGCAGGGGGACCAGGTCTGATGTGCCTCTTGGGATGTGTCCCTTCGACTCTGGGGCCAAGCTCGATCAAATTCCCTGGAGGGTCTCGGGCTGGAGTACGGTGGCTGGTGGGGGTATGAATGAGTCTGGAGCAGGCAGGAGAGGGGTGGTGGGGACAGGTCTGATCAGCCCCCTCCCTTCCCCATCCCCCACCCCCCAGTCTGCGGGAAACGTTATAAGAACCGCCCAGGTCTGAGCTACCACTACACCCACACCCACCTGGCAGAAGAGGAGGGCGAGGAGAACGCAGAACGGCACGCCCTGCCCTTCCACCGGAAAAACAACCACAAGCGTGAGCCGGGGGGGCAGGGCCTGGGGGGCGTCAGGAGAAGCCCAGGGGGCTGGGCTGGGCTGGGCCGGGTGCCTCGGAGCCTCCCTCCCCAAGTTTGGGAGCCTGGCACGGCGTCGCGATCGCCTTCACCAGCGTTGGGGTTTCCATGGCGACCAGCCCTCTCCCTGGCCCGGGCGTAAGATTTCTGGGTCTGATTTATTGCTTCAATTAGAGATCAGGGAGGGGGTGGGGAGATGACAATGGGGGGTGATGGATGATTTCCCCACACGCACTCCACTTCAGCCTCCTTCCCTCCCTCCTCTTGGGCCTGGGGGCACATGGGGAAGCCTTGGGCTTTAAGCCTGCTGAGCCAAGTGGGCAGCCAGAATTCCAGCCCCCTCCCATCCCTTCCCCTCCCTGCAGATAACTGGGGATGCCCAGGAAGGGGGCGTAGAGCAAAGGGATGGCGTCTAGGGGTCCCCTAGTCCTTCCACTGGGCCCCTCTCTGCTTAGATTGCTGGGGCTCCCACTTCCTTGTCCCTCTGTCTGTGTGTGTCTTTCTGCGCCTGGCTCTGTGTATATCTGTGGGTGGCCCCAGCACGGCCCTGCCTTTGAGTTCTTCCTGCCTAAAAAAAGGCAGCCCTATCCAAGTACTCCATCCCAGGGGAGGAGGAGGGCATTGAGGGTGCCAGTGTCTAGGGTACCAAGCCATCTCTCTGCCTCCCCAGAGTTTTACAAAGAACTGGCTTGGATTCCTGAAGCCCACAGAAAGCACACAGGTAACCCACCTCCTGAATCTGCTCCACTCCAAATCTCCCTCTTCCTTGGCTGGAAAGACAACAGAGTCAGAGAGAGACAGAGATAGAGACACACAGAAAGAGAGAGAGAGAGATAGACACAGGGTGACAGAAATAGAGAGAGACCAAGAGAAACATAGGGACAAGAGATAGAGAAACAGAGACAGACTCAGAGACAGACACAGAGACAGTGAGTCAGAGAGAGAGAGAGAGAGATGGAGCTGGAGAAGGCAGGCACCTAAAGATGGAGGAGAGGGAGAGACAGAGGACAGAGACGACAGTAGGGAGAGAACAGCAGGGAGAGAGGCAGGGTGAAGGTTGGGGAGCACCTTGCTGGGTACCGCTGGCACCCTTGTTCCTGCAGGCTGGACCTCCCAAGCCTTCCTGTTGTTTTCCAGCCAAGAAGGCTCCAGATGGCACAGTCATCCCCAATGGCTATTGTGACTTCTGTCTGGGCGGTTCCAAAAAGACGGGGTGTCCTGAGGACCTCATTTCCTGTGCTGACTGTGGCCGATCGGGTAACTCCCACCATAGAGGATCCAGGCAGGGATCAGGGGAAGTCCAGGGCACACAGGATGCCCAGAAGGCATGCGTTGTCGCTTAGAGAAGGGAGTTGTGGTTCCTAGGGCATCTCCGGTCAGAGATATCCACAGGATGGATCATAGAGTTTAAAACAGAAGGGAATCTCAGAAGTTCTCTGGTCCAGCCTCCTCACCTTACAGAGAAGGAAACTGAAGCCCATTGGTAGGAAGGGACTTAACCTGGGTCACACAGCTAGTAAGTAGCAGCTTGGACTGGAACTCACCCACTGACTCCAAATCAAATGCTCTTTCCAATGCATGATCAATTGTTAAGCATTTAATAAACACTTGTTACGTGCCATATACCATGCAAGACAAAACAGAAACAGTTCCTTCCCTGAAGGAGCTGCCATGCTAACGGGAAAGGTGACATTTACACATGCCCACATAGCCATCACACCCCCGCTCTGAGCTGGAGTTTTTCTGTCCTCCTCAGAGGTACGGTGGCATGGGGGCTGGGACAGGGGAGGGAGGGCTAGAGACCTCCCAATCCTAGAAAACTACATGGGCACCCACTCCCCCCTCCTGTGGGTACCCCCAGAATGAAAGTCTATCTCCTCCCCACTCCAACACTTCTCATCCCATATCAAATGGTCTGCCAAGACGGATGGGGAAACATTGGGAAACTTGACACCTGATTACTTCTGGGGAGGGGGTTGTGGTGCCTTGGAAAGAGCACCCGCTTCAGAGGACCTGGGTTCAAATCCTGTTTCTGCTGCTTGCTACCTTCTGTGACATCGGCCAAGTTACTCCCCCTCCTCGGTCTCAATTTCCCCCACCTATAGAATGAGGCACTAAGATCAGATGGGGGAAGGTGGAAGGGAATAAACAATTACATAGCACCTAGTATGTGCCAGGCAGGCACTGTGCTAAGCACCTTGTAAATATTCTCTTATGTGATCCTCACAACACCCCAGGAAGGTAGGTGCTATTATGATCCTTATTTTACAGGTGAGGAAACTGAGGCACAGAGGTTTAAGTGACTTGCCCAGAGTCACATAGCCAGTAAGTTTCTGGCTGGATTTGAACTCAGGTCTTCCTGAGGCCAGGTTCAGTGTTCTATCCCCTGCACCGCCTAGTTGCCTCTAGAGGGCATCTATGAACCCTCCTAGGTCTAAATCTCTGCTCTCTGCATTTGTTATTTCTACAGATAAAGAAAATTATATCGTTTTAGAACTGGAAGGAATTTTTTAGAGGCTGACCCTCTCAATCCTACAAATGAGGAAACAGAAGTAGTGACCTTGGGGTAAATGGTAGAGTCAGAATTCGAACCCAGGTCTTGTGATTTTGAGTGCAGGGAGGTTTGATTCTACCACAATGCTTCAAGAGGAGATTTAGCAGGACAAGGAAGAGAGGAACACATTTAATCTAACTTCCATCAAACATATGGAGGAATTGTCCTGGACTACCAGTGTGGAAGGGGGCTCAGAGGACATCTAGATGAGGAAGCTGAGGCCCGGGCAGGGAGAGTCATCACACAGCTAGGAAGTGACTCAAACCCAGGTCCTTTAACGAACTTGGAGGATTATAGATCATGCTGGATGGAACATTGTGGTTTATCCTTCATATTCCACAGATGAAGAAACTGATAATAGGGATTTAGTATCAGAGGTAGGGATTTGAACCTGGGACCTCTGGCTCTACCATACTTTCTCCTAAGAAGGAACAGAAATGTTCTGGGTGACCACAGATGCCAGAACAAGGAGCAGTGCATGTAGAGTGCAGACTGATTTGGCTTGATGTAAGGAAAAACTCCAATAATGAGAGAGCCTCAGGGAAAGGAAATGCGCTCCCCATCGCTGGAGGTACCCAAGTGCACAGGACTCCAGTGGAGGAGGGTACGGGGGAGGGGTTCCCTACTTGAGAAGGAGGTTGGGGTCGACCACAACCTTGTCAATGCCTCCCAGCTCCAAGGGCCTGGGACTTTTCTAAGTCTGGGATGCCGAGCCCATTTTTGGACTCTGTCCCTTCCAGGTCACCCATCCTGTTTACAATTCACGGTGAACATGACTGCAGCTGTAAGGACATACCGCTGGCAGTGCATCGAATGCAAATCTTGCAGTTTGTGTGGTACTTCAGAGAATGATGTGAGTGCCCACCCTGCCCAGCAGTGCCAGGCTCTCTGGTGTCTTCAGCCCACCCCCGCCCCATGCCATGGTGCTTTCTGCACCCACGCCCACTCCCTGGTGGGATGGAGAGAATAACAGGCCCCTTAGATCACCTGGTCCCTGAACAGAGGGGGAAACTGAGGCCTGGAGAGGGGATGGGTAGGGCTCGTCTGAGGTCCCACAGTGAGTCAGGAGGACTAGAGCCCTGGGCTCTTTCCGCCCCGCCTGAGCCTCCCTCCCCCTCCCCCCGGCCCCCAGGGCCTCCGGCGCCCCCCCTCCCGCGTGCCCATGCCACCGGGTGCCAGCCGCATGGGTCTTACCCTCCAGGACCAGTTGCTATTCTGTGATGACTGTGACCGTGGTTACCACATGTACTGCCTGAGCCCCCCCATGGCTGAGCCCCCGGAAGGTGAGCTGGGGTGGGTGGACAGAGGGGCCCTGGCAGGCGTGACCCAGGGAACGGGGTGGGAGTGTCTGGGGAGAGGGATGCATGCATGAAGAGCTAGCGGGGGACAGCTGGACGCCAGGGTCCCTTCCTCTCTGGCCTCCCCACAGGAAGCTGGAGCTGTCACCTGTGTCTTCGGCACCTGAAGGAAAAGGCATCAGCCTACATCACCCTCACCTAGGCCTGGCCTCACCCGCCCCTTCCCTTACCTGCCCATCCCCTTTCCCTGACTCTGAGCCCCACCCCCCAGGGATGGGGCCCATCAAAGGGCCAGGTTCCCTTCCCCCCACAGAGGGGAGTACGTGCCAGCCCCGGCCTCCCCCCCGCCCTGCCTCCCTCCCCGGTGGTGGGTACTGGGGATGCTGCTCTCCTCAAAGCCATAACCCGCCTCCGGGCGGGCACTAGGGGCCGGGCACCGGCTAGGGAGTGGTAGGGGCATGGATGGAGCCTTTTTCTAGAGAAAAAGACAAAAAGTTAAAAAAAAAAAGACAAAGTAATATATACAGAGAGAGACCTATACAACTTGGTGGGCCTGGATGGTGGGCACCCCTCCCCTCAGTTTCCTACTGGGCCTGAGCCGACTTCCTGCGCGGACCCCTCCCCTAATTCTGTGGGGAAGCTGGTGGTCTAATCCCCTCCTGGGCCCCCCCCCCCAGCCGCAGGCAGTTTCCCACCTCACGCTCTGGGTAGGCAGGCACCACGCTTGCCCCTTTTCGGCCTGCCCCCTGCCCCTTCCCGCGGTGCCCGCCGTGGGCGTTGCATGATGTGAACCATGGTTTTTAAAGTCCTGTTCCCCTTGCCCCCTCCTTGTGCCCGCTCCCCCATGCCCGCTGCAAACTGTAGGCAGGGGCCGGGCAAGGCGGGCTCCGGCGCCCGCCAGAATGACAAGCACAGCGTTTGCACCCGGACTGGTTTTTTTTCTCCCCCATCCCCATCCCCTCGCCAGGCAAGGACCAGGCCCCTTGGCAAGGGGGGTCCCCTGAACCCTGATGCCCATCTCGAGGGCAGTTGGCGAGGGGGGCGGCTGTTTCTTGTGGTCGTGTGTGTTTAATTGTTGGGGTATCCAAAAGACGCTGGGGTTCCTGGGCAAGCAGGCAAGGCCAGGGAGAGGGGGGTCCTGGGGGGCCAGGGCGCCATGGGCTGGCCCTGGCTTCCTGGCACCATGGCCCCATCCCCCCAGCTCCCTGTACAGCCTGTCTCCCCCCTTGCCTGCCTCTACCGTGGATCACCCTGTTCTGTGTATTAAATTGGGCCTGGCCCTGCTGCGCCCTGGCCGCTGCCTCCTTCTGTCGGCGCCCTGTCGGGGTGGGGAAGGCAGGAAGGAGGAAGGGAGGGAGGGAGGGATGGAGGAGGTGAGGGCCCTAGTCCAGCTTTTGTCTTTCTCTTCCTTGACTCATCTTTCTTCCCATCTTCCCCCAGTCTCTTCCCCAACACCTCCAGGCTATCACGCCACCTCCTCTTGGGTCTCCCTCCTCAACACCCCATTTCCTCCACTTTCTCTTTTCCTTCACCAGACCCTCCCTATCACCCCTCTCCCCCACTTTCCTCCAGTCTCTTCCTGTTACCTCCCCAAGTCTCTCCAACACCCCGTTTCTCTCTAGTATTCCTCTTCATCCAGACCCTTCCCTTCTTTCCCCGTTTCTCTCCCCATCCCCCTCCCTGTCGCTCCTTGTCTCCCCATCTTCCTCCAATCCTCATCTCGTCTCTCCCTGCTTCTCCCCATCTCCCGCCCTGACTCCATCCCCCACCCCCTCCTGCCTAGCTGGGAAGAGAAGAGAAGGAAAGGGAAGGGGGGGATGGGGTGGTAGAGACTGCAGCACCCCCCCCCCCCGCACACACCCGACCAGCTGTGGTCGCCCTGGCAACGGGCAGCTGCTGCAGCAAGAAACAGAGACAGAGGGTGGGAAGTGGGAGAAGGGATTGTTGGGGGGGGTAGGGAGAGCAGTATCATATCCCCACACTGTTCACCTTGCTGCTGTTAGGGAGACAGAGCGTGTGTGTAGGCAACAGTCTGTCCTTCACCTTCACCCCCAAGCACCCAAGGGAAGGGCGAAGGACAGGGAAGAGACAGAGAGAGAGGCGAGGGGGGAGGGGGGAGGGGAGAAGAGACAGATTAGGAGAGGCCACGAACGGTGCAAGTGACCTAGCAAGAGGGCAGACAGACAGAGGGCAAGAGAAAGTGGTCAGGAGGGAGACTGGCTCCGGAAGAGACTGATGTAGATGGTAAGGAGGGGAGTACAAGAGACCCAAGGAAAGCAGTCAGCGCAGAGAGGAAGAGGCAGGGAGCTCAGGTGGTGATGGCAGGATCAGGAGACAGAGGGTCAGACTCCTGAAAACTGGGGGCCCAGATGGAAGGAGACACCCAGAAAGCTTGGCAAAGTCAAATGCCAGAGGGTGTCCAAGAGAAGCAGATGGAGAGATGAGGTGGAGGGTAAGGAGATGGGCTGTGAGTGAGGGTGTGCTTGGGAGATGCTGGGTACTGCAACCTGGAGGTGAATTTCACATTCCTACCAAATCTCCCAACTTGAGCTAGATTCCTGGGGGGGAGTGAGATCTCGCCCCTCCCCTTGAAATGCAGAGACACAGAGGACGGCTGCGGGAATGGGGAAAGCTGGTACAGTGGCCTGGGTGCCGGCACCCCAGGGTCTCAGTTTCCCTTATGCGTGCTACCAGCCCAGGGAGCCTCCAAGGTCTTTTCAGGTCTGCCATTTTAAGATGTTATTTCCAGAAGCTCTGTTCTAGATAACTTTCTGGCTGAAAGATTCCTGCTGGGGAGGTAAGGTGTTGAAATCCACTCTGGCCCTCTGATAATGGATGAGCTCAGGAAAAAGACCATTTGAGCCATCACTGACAGTCTGGGGCTCAAGCCTTCCCTAGGCGACTTCCCAGTGTACCTCAGCACTTGCTGCTTAGGCATGGGCCCTCAGTTGGCTACCTGGCAGTGGGAACAGGGCCATTCGCCCTCATCCTGGGGAGGTCAGTTTGTGGCCAAGATGAAAGCTCCACTGGTGGGTGGATTAGGGATCAGATGGGTCAGGGTTAGAGCACTGGTTTGGGACCTGTCACTCTGTGGCCAGGAGTCAGACGAACGTGGGGATGGAGCTGAGGCCTGGCTTCCAGCTTTTTCTGTGGTTAGGGATTTGGCCAGGACTGATCCACTGGAAGGATTGGGTGGGTTTAGGACCACCATTCTGGGACCTAGGCTATGGGTCTGTGGGTGGTCGGCACTCAGACTAGGGATAGATTCCAGTCCATTAGCAGGAAAGAGAACTGGCCTGACCCAGGGCAGCAGCTACCCTCCTGCTCTCCACATTCCCCCCAATGACGGTCTGAGGATCCTCGGGGCAGGATAGGGTCTGTTGGCCAGCCGTGGAACAGAAACTCATGGAATACCACCCAGAACTTGCCAATGTAGGAGTGGTGGGGGTGGAGAGGAAACCAATCTGTTAGGCAGCTGGCTTCATTCCCTGTCCCAAACCTACACACTGTGAAGAGCACTTCCTTGAACGGGAGCGGGCCAGGGCCAGGGCCAGTATTCGAAAGACACTAGGCTGGAGAAATAAGATCAGACTTAGTTGGAAGCTCCGGTTAGAAGCACTCCTGGGACGCCAGGCCCTGCTCACACAGCTCACAAGATGGGGCACTCCCTCTTCCTTCAGCGGTCTGTGCTGTCGTTAGACTGCTCTCCCTTACAAAGAAGCAGTCAGGGTGGGCCCGGGGCATTTGAGCAGAAGACACCCGACGTAGGCTTGCCAGGCTCCCCTCTCGATTCGTATCCCAGACCCAGGCAGCAAGAACAAGCAATTTCTATGAAACATTTATTTCCTCTGAAACTTCCAGAAACAAAACCCCTAATCTCAAGACTGAGGGGAATAACAGTGACAAAAAAAGAATGTCCCCACCCACCCGCCCCTCCAATAAAAAACAAAAAAATCCAGTTGACACAGGAAAAGTTGCTGCTGTCAACCATCAGGAAGAATGCCAGGGCAAAATTAAATAGACAGATTTTACCTGTATAGATCCTCACAAAATGATAACAAGAAACCACACCAGCCGTAATTTACACTTGGTCAATGTATACAATCAAGCCCCAGAATGATCTGAATGATCCCTAGACATGGGGGGGGGGACACAAAAGCATTTGGAGGGTGGGGGCCCCGCTAGGGAGACCCCAGAGATGGGCCAGGAGGGACATCGCAGTAAGGTCACTGGACCAGGAATGGGAGGGCCAGGAGCAGCTTCAGCCACACTCGCCAGGGCCTCACTGGTGCCCATCTGGCAGGGCAAGGGCAGGGGGAGGGGCAGCTAGATTTATGGGTACATCTTCCCATCTCCAATATTTTATCCCCTGCTCTCTCTCATCTAATCAGGACTGAGCTGGTTTGAAACTGAAGGGGCCTAATTACATCAGAGGAAGATGTGGTGAACATCCCTTCCCCTTTCCCTTTCTCCTCCCCCCTTCCTGCACCAGGGAGATGGCCCCATCAAGGGGGGTGTGAGACAAATGCTGAGGCTGGGGTGGGGGGGGCGCGCTGCTTTGTGGTCCTGAGGGCCCCAGATCTGCCTGCAGCCATGTCAGGGGAGGAACAGGAGACCCAGATCTGTTGCTAAGCACACCCCTCTGTTCTAGGCAGGACCAGAGGATTCTTTGGAGGAAAAAACCAATCTAGCCACAGCCCAAGTCTCCGGACCCCAAAGTGGCTTTCTTCGACTCTGGGCCACGGAGGACGCTGGAGCCTCCAGGGCTCCCAAGACCGCCCACCCCCGCCCCGGCCATAGGGGACTGGGTGTTCGAGTGGCCCGGGTGTTTGAATGGCCTGGGGTGTCTCAGGGCAAGGCTCCACTTGGAGTGAGAGATCTATGGGAAACGTGGGTTTGTAGATTGTGTCCTCAGCATGAGGCTGGAAACAGATCCACAGAGGATTACTACTGAATTGTTCTGTGGTGGCTTTGCATGAAAAAATAAATATATATTATATTTATACTTTTTTTTTAAAGAAAAAAAAAACAAACCAGCTGCTCTTTTCCTAAGCTCCCAGCATAGTACCACATGTAGCTGCCGGGGCCAGGTGCACAGGCCTGCAGCCTGGCCCGTCATTCCTTATTGCCTTAGAGAAGCTGCAGGCAGCAAGGGAGGGGCTGCCCTGGGGGGCACCTGCTCCACAGTGGGTGTCCTATAGGAGCAGGCCTGAAGCCTCAACCAGAGCCCAATGAGCCTGGTGGCTTTCAAAGGAAAAAAGAGGAAAGAAAAGTCCTTTCTAACCCTCCCGCTCTGGCCCCTCCTTAACAGGGGAAGAGATGGGAGGGAGGTGGGGTTTAGACCCCACGTTCAGGAAAATGAAGGAAGTGGAGCTCAGGGGGAGCTGGGGTAGGGGACCAAGGCCACCTGCAGCCTCCCCACGGGCCCCCGAGACCCCAGGCCTCAGCCACAGTCTAGATTCAGTAGTTTGGCATCAGTGCTGAGCAGGCTCTGAGGGGCGGGGGGGAGGACGAAGGGGGTAAGCCCATCAGCAGCCCCAATCCCACCCTTTGGTTCCAGGACCACCGGGCCAAGCAGGCTGCCCATGGCGGCTAGACAAGTCTCAGAAAAAGAGACTACAAACTGTCCTATTTATACAAATATAGTGTTTCTCTCTCTCTCTCTCTCTCTCTCTCTCTCTCAATAAAGAACATTTACACTCTGAACATTGGGATTTCTCCATCTTGGGTTTACTAGAAAGTACTTTAGCTTGGAAAAAAGAGCTCCGAGGTTTTTCGGAACTTGATAGAAGGGAGCAGGTGGGTGAGGTGTGCCCCTTACCTTCCCCCACCGTCCCAGCTGGTCCAAAGGGTTTCTGTATTGCATTGGAACTCAATATACCAAGGGCTGGCCAGTGGGTTCAAAGTTTCATGACAGCGAGGAAGACTGGTCACTTAGTGTGGGCACACTGCCCCAAGGGCCTCTGGGTGGGGGAGCCTCTTCATGCCCTCAAGCCCAGGTGACTCCAAGGACCCCGTCTCCACCCGGGCCTTCAGGACAGCCTGGCACCCCATGCCGCCCGAGGGGAAGAGGCAGTGAGCAGCATGGGGCCCCGAGGGTGGGGGGTGGGGGAGGCCCTTGCCTTCAGGGCTCCTTCTTCTCCACCGTGCTGGAGAAGATCTGGGCAAACCTCCGCAGCTGCTCATTGGCCGCCTGCGATTCCTCCTGCAGTCGCTGGTTGTTCTGCCTCAAGGTGGCCACCTCTGTCTGCAGGACCACCTTGTCCTGCTTCTCCTACAGAGA